ACCAATCAGGTTCTCAGCATGATCATTGGATTGCTACATACACTCATACCTCATTTATTTTTTTATTTTTTTAACTCGGGTACTTTTTCTCTTTTTTTACATTGTTTTACTAGATTTATACGGGCGATCTGGGACCAGGCACTGCCCGTAACTTTGAAATGTAACTAACTCTGAATCGCATACATTGTGACGGGGAAAGACCACAGAAATGGTATGTGATGTGTGATGTCACTATTTCACACATGAAACAAAAGAGTAGTGATATTAATATTCCGCTACAGTTCGCCAGAGGGTGCCCGGTAGACCGAAGTGCCCGTTACGCCGGTGTCCGGATAACTGAGGTGTAAGAGTAGTAAACACTGGTAACGAAGGTAGCAGGCAATGAAGCCAAGCCATGGAAAAAAGTATAGAATTTGTATACTGCAAATAAGGACTCTTGCTTTCACATACCTCAGCCTCTGATACTGCTGTGGTCACTGCACCAAAGTCAATATGCCATCGGTCCACACCGGTCAAACAGTAGCTACTCTGAATATGGGACATACACATATGCAGGTATAGACACATACATTCACGTAAGTACTCGAAACATGTACACACATATACCCCGCCCCCCCCCCCCCCCCCACACACACACATATACCCCCCCCCCCCACACACACATATACCCCCCCCCCCCCCACACACACATATACCCCCCCCCCCCCCCCCACACACACACATACCCCCCCCCCACATACACACACATATACCCCCCCCCCCCACACACACACACACATACCCCCCCCCCACACACACATATACCCCCCCCCCCCCACACACACACATACCCCCCCCACATACACACACATATACCCCCCCCCCCCCCCCCCCACACACACACATACATGTACCCCCCCCCCCCACATACACACACATATACCCCCCCCCCCCCCCCCCACACACACACACATACCCCCCCCCCCCCACACACACACATATACCCCCCCCCCCCACACACACACATACCCCCCCCCCCCACATACACACACATATACCCCCCCCCACACACACACACATACCCCCCCCCCCCCCCCCCACATACACACACATATACCCCCCCCCCCCACACACACACACATACCCCCCCCCCCCCACACACACACACATATACCCCCCCCCCCCCCCCCACACACACACACATAATACCCCCCTCCCCACACACACACACACACACATAATCCCCCCCCCCCCCCCACACACACACATGTGTGTGCACATATACATACCAGTACACATGCAAATGACTGTATTATTTGCAAGATACGCTTACAAAAGACTCTTTGGCAGCTTCGATCAAGTTTCTGCTCAACAATACTTCTGGCTTTCATGAATTCCCAAGCAACCTATCTAAAAAAAGCCCCATAACTGTCACAATCGTATTATGAACACATCAGATGAAAATTAAGTTGGCTTATCGTTGCATCAGAAGCGGACTGGCAGCTCTCAAATCCAAATAATGGGGCCGCATGGGGCCTTTTCTGTGATACGTGCTAGGGGCAGGGCACTGAAATACAAACTTTGAGACTTTGAGGGTCGAATAAGGCCGTCAACATGTAATCAATAATGACATACAGAATTCTTAATCAGATGGTGAGCCAAGGAAAATATTAAATTGGAACAAGGGAAACGGTGGGGCACAAGATATGTGTCAGATGAACCTTCCAAGTTGGAAGGCTGTTGGTTAGCACTATGGAGCAGTGTTCAAGCTCACTTCCTTGCCGTGGAATGGCTAAGTACTCCCTGTCAGTCTGGTGCTACCTCGTGCACGTCTGACTGTTCAAAACCTAGTTTAGCTGGTGGAATTCTTGATGTTAATTGTATTATTTTTAAACTTACATGATGAGCGTGAGTGATAAAGTTACTAGCAGTTAGCCTGGCGATAGATTGTGACGGAGTGTGTAGTGGAATGCCCTGAATACGTGAGCGTGCATGCCCACACGCACATACACACGCCCACGCACGCACACAGAGGAAACAAGGAAGAGACACGGTACAGAACACTCCTTCCTTGACCAACTAACCAGTACAGCGTGGCTTCAGAATTTCTTGGCGTACCTATCCTAAATTTGTAAAACCTGGCCGAATATCTAATTCTCTGTTCTTGCACTTTTCTGGCCTGGAATGTGACAAGGCATAATTGCATAGGTCGCACAATGCAGGATGTGCTGTTGCATTCACGATATCTACAGCAACACGTTGTAGAATTAAGAAAAGTTGTGGACATTACTTGTACATGACATACATACGCTCCCGCTTGCTTTGGCTATAAAAAAATCCAGGTTCGCCCCTTGTACTTCGAAGTAAATTGTTCTGGCGATGGGTGACTGGCCCGAAACGTCAATCATTTTTTCAACATCACAATAAAAGAATTGTTAATGCAGCGCACGCACATATTGTGAATAGCAACTGAATAGAGCGGTTGTCAGTTGACAATTCTTTCAATTCGTGGGAGACAACAAAAAGTCAGGTTGCCAGTTTCCAATGAACGGATCGTCTGAGTAAATTCGGCTTGATTCACAAAGTGGTTGCCACGCAGACTAAGGGTGTAAATCAGCAGTAACACACACATGTTGGTCACCTAACAGTTGGTGCGGCCATGGCCTGGCCAACCGGACCGGTACCACCGGGCCTGATGTATTCCCTAGCAACTCTCTCTCGCTGCCGTTGTCCAGAAATCACTGCCAGGTAGGTGGCAAAGCAGGTGGCAAAACTCACCTCGCTATTGATAATATCCAGTCGCTGCTCCACTCTGGGTTTCAGCTTCTTGGCAATAACCAGCTGGTGCAGAGTCTGAGGCAACCACCGTAGTACATACAGAACAAGAAAGTCTCGAGTGTTGGCCGAGGATGGATTCATACTTCATAGTAACCCTCTACAGTATTGTCAGTCGCCAAAGAACGGGGGGGGGGGGGGGTCAGCCTCCTAGCCAAGACCGTTCTTAGTATCATGTATTCACGTTACAGTCTATGCACGGTTGAGTCACCGTGTATATATTATCGGTATGCTGTGCTTGGTGAAATTCTAGCCTGGCTGTACTTCGGCGCCTGACAGTACTGCACTGGTGTACAACCAGACATTTAAGGTGTTGTTTCCGGCGGGTGTACAACTGATCATCAATGTATGTAATCAGATGTCACAAAGCTGAGCGGCTCACATTAACTACGACTCCCCCGCCCACACAACCTGCAGTTGGGTGCACAGACAGCATGTAAATAACACCCTCATGGCAAATGATCATTTGAACTGATGGGTTTGCAACTGCAACTGGTCTCACAAGACAAGAAGGATCACTCACCTCTGGACCTAGACCTGCTAAGCCGTCGAGAAGACGAGACCTCATCTGCTCCAAGTGAATCGGCAGCAACTCGACTACAGACAGGAAAGCAGGACAAATGAAAGAGAGAGAGAGAGAGAGAGAGAGAGAGAGAGAGAGAGAGAGAGAGAGTGAGAGAGAGAAAGAGAAAGAGAGAAAGAAAGAAAGAGAGAGAGAGAGAGAGAGAGAGAGAGAGAGAGAGAGAGCGAGAGAGAGAGAGCGAGAGAGAGAGAGAGAAAGGGAGAGAGAGAGAAGCACAAACACACACACACACACACACACACACACACACACACACACACAGAACGATGCATAAAGACAGACAGACATCAAGCAAGAGCTTAAAATTCTCCGAACACTGACAATGAAAATGGGGCAGACCGACAGACTGACAGACAAACAAACAAACAGAGAGAGGCTGAGCGGGACAGACAGACAGACACAGGCACACACACAAATACCCACACACACACGTGCATGGAGTGCATGTTCTATGAGATACTACAGCTACTGAGAAAAATAGAAAAAGGAGCACATAGTTAGAGAGCTCCGTAGACTGAAATTTCAATAATTTCATGGATCTGAATGCAGCAGAGCAAGAAAAAAATAGACAACAAGGCCCATGTACATCAGCACATGGACCAATATCAAGGTGTGAATTGTCCACTTCAGTGACAGCTACATTTTGGCGCAATTCACAGCTCAGTTCTTGACATGAGCACATCAAGAGCACAGGAGCTGTAGTGTAGCACAGGAGCAGTACTCTGTACTTCACTAGCTGAAACCTGCCAATGGCAGTGCCAGCAAACGGGAGCTTGCACCCAGCTTCACCTCCTAAAACACAACTCTAAAGTGGATGTGCCACCTCACACCAACTCTCCACCATCTTAAGCACACCTGACACCAATTCCCCACTGACACCAGCGCACTACGTACCAACTCTCCAACAACATTAACACCTCACACCGATTCCGGGCGACGGTCAACATACCACACCACACACACCACACACCACACACACCACACACACCACACACACCACACGACACCACACACACCACACACTACACACACCACACACACCACACACTACACACACTACACACACTACACCACACATGACACACAAGGTCGTCACCAACATCAACACACTACACACATAACGTTATTTTCGCCAACATTAGTAAACCTCACACCCCTTCCCTACAGGTCTCTTTCTCTACTCTATCTTAATCCTGGCTGATGATTGCCTGAAGCGCAAAGGTCTGACCCTCACCTACGCAGGGTCTAACTCTCCGTTGTATCTATCAAAGTCTACCTGCAAACTAGCACACGTACACATACATACATAGACACACAACTAACACACTCACACACTAACACGTTCACACTCTCACACCCCACACTCATTCACCCTCACCCTCACACACACCTCACATGCACCCTCAGACGCACTCAGTAATTGTCACCCATCTCCCACAGCCATACACTTTTAGACTCACGCACACCTCAATGTGAGAATCTGTTTAACATATATAGCCGGTGCCACGCAAGCCTCTTTCCTTCATGTTTTCATTCACTTTCGTTGTGTTGATGACATAGTCGTTTCTTTGTTGTTTGTGTTTCTTTTGGACACGTGTTGTTGATTCTTATTGAGTGCAGTATAGCGTTGTGCGTGTTTCGCAACTGATCAGTTTTCCCAGCTTAATCAGCGAGCGATAGCAGCGAACATAACGTGGCGTTGAAACGAGCCAGATGGAGCGTTGCCAACAAGCCGGTTTGACCAAGGCTTCACAGCCAGTCAGCATGATGGACATAGTCGCTTCTGACTGGCCAGAGTACAGCAGCTTGACGGTGACTGGTGAAAGGCTGAACACGGCGACGTACTGTTCTGGCAGGGGCGACGTCGCATCTGGCGGGAATCACCGCAATGGCACTGACAACACGACTGGCAAGACGACGCCCAGCCAACGTGTGCAGGATGTCGGGGCAGGCCAACGTGTGCAGGATGACGGGGCGGACAACTCCACCAGTGCCAGCACAGGAGATGTGAGAGCGGACGGGAAAGGAGACGTGAAAGGAGATGTGAAAATGGACGTGAAAGCAGACGTGAAAGTGGGCGTGATCAAGAAGAGCGCCCTGAAACCGGACAGCCCGGCTTTTCAGTACCCTAGCTATGAGTACAGTGAGAATAATGATGCGTGGAACACACTACCTCCACCAGTACTAACAGCAGCCAATAATCCCAACAACTGCCAAACGGCGTTGCCCAATCAGGGGATGTTGGGTGACATCAATGGCCCGCCGACACCCTGGTTGGGCCCCATGTCCGGCTGCCGACCATGGACTGCACACAACCAACACGGCAACCCTAGCCCTCAGTTCTGGAACAGATATATGCCTTTCGGACCACCACCACCCGTGATGCCATTCCCAATGGCATCGCCACTGAGGCCACCAGCACACACACAAATGTCACTGTTTGCTGGCGACAACGGACAGCCACCGGTATACGATCCTAGACTGCAGAATGGTCTTCTCCCGCAACAGCAGATGCAGATGCAGTACTTGCAGTACCAGCAGTACCAGCAGTTCCAACGAGAGCAGCAGCAGTACCGCCAACAGCAACAGCAGCAGCAGCGGCAGTACCAGCAGCAGCAGTGTGCATCGCCGTCTTCCATCTGGAACTCCGGTCCGCAAACCCAGCAGCACACAAAGGCAGCAGCCCGGCCACAGACCCAGCACACCAAGGCAGCAGCAGCAGCAGCCCAGCAAGGACCAGCAGGCACTTATCAGCAGCACACAAAGGCAGCAGCCCGGCCACAGACCCAGCACACCAAGGCAGCAGCAGCAGCAGCAGCCCAGCAAGGACCAGCAGGCACTCATCAGCAGCCACAGGTACACACGGTGACCGAAATAGAACACCGCCTGACAGGTGGCTGCACTGACAAGCTCAAGTCCCCGGCAACATCACTACCAGAGCCATCACCGCTGAGCAAGACCAGCAGTGAAGCAGTCCAAGACTACACTCACCAACCTCTATTAGAACGCGCCCGAGCATGCACAGAATGGAACGATGCTACGGGCAGTCATGACAAACTCAAAGACGCTGCTGCGACCACACTGCCGAGGGTGGACGTTGCCCTCGGTGAGGACTTCGCCGACATCAACATCTCTCTAGCGCCAATGGCAAAGCCATGGAGAACGGTGACTGAGGAATATGTCCAGTCCGTGTTATTGTCCACATCTCCTCCTGCTCAAACAGCACAGGAGACTTGCCACCACGTACCACAAGACGCACAGGAGAATTTCACTCCGCTGTACCAGCAACCAGAGAGCATGCCAAACAGAAGCAGGAGCGAAGTCGGTGAGCCAGCAAAAGCGCCCACGACAGCGGAGAACCATGCAGAGAATGTGCAACAGTCCACCTTGCCACAAAGCACACAGGGCACCACATCGCAACAAGAGCGAAGTTCCAACCCCACTATCACTACCGTGGGGAAGTTTCAGCCGCTCAAAATGCCCTCGTGGTACGCTAGCTATGAGAGCACATGGGGTCCACCCCCAAAGGACGGAGAGTTATCTGTTTGGGACGTTGATCAGAAACCGTCATGGCGTATCGACCGACAACCACCAGTGATCGACGCAGAGTACAAGGATACGGTGGTCTCCTCGGATACGGTGGTCTCGGACACGGTGGTCTCGGATATGGCGGTCTCCTTGGACAAGGATACGGTGGTCTCCTCGGATACAGTGGTCTCCTCGGATACAGTGGTCTCGGATATGGCGGTCTCCTTGGACACGGATACGGTGGTCTCCTCGGATACAGTGGTCTCGGACACGGTGGTCTCGGATATGGCGGTCTCCTCGGATATGGCGGTCTCCTCGGACACGGCGGTCTCCTCGGACACGGCGGTCTCCTCGGACACGGCGGTCTCCTCGGACACGGCGGTCTCCTCGGACACGGCGGTCTCCTCGGACACGGCGGTCTCCTCGGACACGGCGGTCTCCTCGGACACGGCGGTCTCCTCGGACACGGCGGTCTCCTCGGACACGGCGGTCTCCTCGGACACGGCGGTCTCCTCGGACACGGCGGTCTCGGATTCGGCGGTCTCGGATTCGGCGGTCTCCTCGGACCCGGTGATCTCGGATACAGAGGTCTCCTCGAATACAATGGTCTCCTCGGATACAATGGTCTCCTCGGATACAATGGTCTCCTCGGATACAATGGTCTCCTCGGATACAATGGTCTCCTCGGATACAATGGTCTCCTCGGATACAATGGTCTCCTCGGATACAATGGTCTCCTCCTCGGATACAATGGTCTCCTCCTCGGATACAATGGTCTCCTCCTCGGATACAATGGTCTCCTCCTCGGATACAATGGTCTCCTCGGATACAATGGTCTCCTCCTCGGATACAATGGTCTCCTCGGATACAATGGTCTCCTCGGATACAATGGTCTCCTCGGATACAATGTTCTCCTCGGATACAATGTTCTCCTCGGATAAAATGTTCTCCTCGGATACAATGGTCTCCTCGGATACAATGGTCTCCTCGGATACGGGGTGTGTCCTCGGATATCGTGTTCTCCTCTCCGGGTTTGCTGGGCGGAGAGCCTGATGACAGAGTAGTAGTGAGTAGCCTCAACCCCTATGTGATCTCAACCCCTATGTGATCTCAACCCCTATGTGATCTCAACCCCTATGTGATCTCAACCCCTATGTGATCTCAACCCCTGAGTGATCTCAACCCCTAAGTGATCTCAACCCCTATGTGATTCACTGGAACTTCTATATTGACTGCATCAAGTGACTGCAGCACGCTGCAACGCTAAAGTCGCTTTTAAAACGTACCCACTCTCGCATTCCCTGATTTTGAATGTACCCACTCTCGCATTCTCTGGTATCAAGTACATACTTTCGCATTCTCTGGTATCAAGTACATACTTTCACATTCTCTGGTATCAAGTACATACTTTCACATTCTCTGGTATCAAGTACATACTTTCGCATTCTCTGGTTTTAGATGTACAGTTAGCTATCACAGTTTATAC